TATCAACCATAACCCAAATAACATCATGTCACATGCTTTGATCTCAACAAACCAACCACAAATTTCATAGAATTCTCCCCCATTTTCACTATGGAATAAGAAGGGGTTGCAATAGACCATCAGGTTTCTGAAGTTTGACCTTAACCATCTGATAGGTCAACACTTAGCTACGGACTCCGCTACTTCAGTTTTCAAACTCGACCACTAAAATAACTTCTTAAAACCTTGATGCATCTTAATACTTCTCAAATAAGTTGAATATGAAGTAGAAAGTGTCTCACAAAGTATCTCCTATCGAAGGCCTTCCCGATATGGAACTTTCACTCGATACTAAAATCTCAAAGTGTCATCTTGATTGATACTAAACTCAAGATTTGATCCATTCGTTGTTTGTTGTATGAGCTGACTACATACATCATCTGAGCTGTAAAAACACGGACCACGCATGTGGGTTGAATTGATAGTTAAAACATGCCATAAATACCTCTTATTCAAATATCTCAAGTTGAAGCCGATCCGAGGATGGAGGGAAGAAGGGAGAAAGACAAGGGTTTCTCTCATTAATGATTTTGGGCAGGGGCAAATTGAAGGAGGACTAAGTTTCTGTGGACTTGCACGTGTATGGTCTTGTCGCTGCTTTCTCGACTAGCTCTAACCATGACTATATCACATGGATTCAATCACAATGTTGATGTTTCTAAGTGAAATTGAGAGAGAGAGAGATGAAGGAGATTAACAAGAGGTGATGCTCATAGCTCGCTCTTATAGACCGTCGAGGCGGTGGTTTGAACAAATTGGAAAGAGCAAGAAAAAGAAAAAAAAGAAAGAAAGAAGCAAAATTTGGTAAGGCAACTTTCAAAGAAGGAAAGAAGAAGAAAGTTCAACAATACATAATAGAACATCATAAATTTATGAAGGGCCTGCTAATGTTTATACATTCTCATCTAAAACTTATATAGTAAAAAAGTAGAGGCATACATACACAAAGATATATGTTACAATAGAAGCAAATATTCTCCTTGAATAACAAATCTTTTGGTTGGACGAAAATTAATCGGGCGAATTAGTTTGGGTTTACTATTTTTCACTTATGTTATCATCCCCCTCAAGCTACATTGTCTGACCTTAATGTTAGTTTATCTCAAACAATAATGAAACATGGAATGGGTGATGACTTCGTGAGGATATCTACAAGTTGGTTCTCAATATATATGTATGTTGTGGACACATTTTGTGGTCGAATTCACTTTCTTGTTAAGTGATGGTCACTCTTTATTTTCCACTGTAAGGGCATAGAAATTGAAACATGGAGTCTCCTGAGAGTCTCATGCAGCCATGTCCCCTTCATAAAAAAAATTGTGTTCCTTAGGAGATTCATTTCTAACACGCTTGAAGGGAAACAAGAAAGGTATTCAAAAGATAAAGAAGAAGAAGAAAAAATTTCAGAGATACATAACAAACCAACATGAATTTATGAATGACATGTTAAGGTTTATACATTATAAGATACAAATTACATATAAACAAGAAGAAGCATACACACATGTAGATATATGTTGTAGTAGGAGGAAAGATTACATAACTCTTCGCATAACAAAATATTTTAGTTGAACACAATTGAATAAGGTGAATCAAATTTGTTAATAAATTTTATGTTATGTTGTCATCCACCCTCAAACAAATATTGCTTGACCTTAATGTTAGCTTGTCTCTGAGCATAGGGAACATGGAGTAGGTAATGACTCTATAAAGATAGGTTTGTTTTTTGCTATGAGTGTTTAGAGATCATCAATTTGCTTTGCAAATAATGAAATATGGAAGTGTTGAGTGGTTTGGTAAAAATATCAGCTATATGCTCGTTGGGAGCAATATGGTAAATGTTGGTTTTGATGCCACATGTGTAGGGTGCTTACTTGAATGACTTGGCATGATATATTATTCAATTTTAGAGTCCTGTAGCTCAAGACACCCATTTGAAACTTCCTAGCATGTATTCAAGGCACGAAGAAAGGGTTCTTGATGATTCAACCTTGCCCAGAAGAATTCACAGTTGGACGGACTCGTTTAGTACATACGACATGTTTGATGCCCATTCTAATGTTTAGAGACCATGAAGTATCAATTTGGAGCCTCTCGTGGTCATCAGAAGTCACTGCGTGCTGCGGGAAAATTAAAGTTTGGAGCGCTCTATTCACGCTGTGGTTCAGGACGACCATCGATAACAAATCACTTGAAGAGCGACCGATAAAAATATTTATTTTTGGAGTTATGGGACTTTATTTTCTTCATATTTGATCCCCCATAGCTTTCGAATCAAAAATTACTTTGTCGGATGCTTCTACTGAAAACCAGGGTTTTTAAGGCTACAATAGTGCTTAGGCGCCAGCCCCATAGATTCAACTTTAAGTTGTCGAGATGCTTTTAGTTTCTTGCCTAGTTTATTTACTACAGTATAAGGAGTATAGAACATCTAAACTTATGGGTTGCAAATTTGTTTGAATCACAATTTTAAATGTTTTTTATGATAGAGGAATTTCATTTAAAGTACATATCAAGATATCATTTTTATCTATTAGAGACCTAGAAGCTGCAATACAATCAACTTTGGCCTTGAGTTCATAAAGATATTGGTTCATGGATTGTGTTCCCATCAAAAAGTTATGCTGTTCATTTTTTTCTGAAGTATGTGAAGTTCATTTTGTGGTTGAATGACACGTGCTCTATTTGTTGATTGTAGTTAACAATTGACTGTGGACCCTATTTTTGCACTAGATTCTAGGTTCAACTCATAGGAAGGATGAAATACGATAGCTGATGCCAGATTCTAATTTATTAAGATCCAATCTTTTATGGTGGATTGGGAGCTACTCAACCATCTTCACTAATCCTTACAGTTGTAGGATAAGCAATTGACCCGTCTAAATATCCTTCAAACCCGTTGGCTCGAAATAACTTCAAAATTTTTTCTCACGATTCAATGACTCTTAAATATTAATTAAGTGTGGACAACATTCTTGATTAACCATTAGGAATTTGAGTTGCAGTGAAATGGGAGTATCATTCAATTAGATAAAAGATTCACTTCATTGCCGAGGAGAAGCTGCAGCAGATGTGAATGAATATTTCATGGAGAAAAAGATGTTGGTAATGGAAGAAAAGAGCTAAATGAGTTTGTTGTGAAGCAGGTAAAACTCTGATACCATGTTAAAATCTGAAATACTTAAAATGAAAGAACTTGAAAACAAAGAAAAAGAATAAGAAGAATAAGAAAGGAATTACCGAGCTACACCATAAATTATTTTCCTTGCTCTCCCCAACACATTAGTCTGCACATATGCCTACTATATGACATAAATGACGAAATTTGAATAGGTAGAGATGGAGAAGATATTCATGTGAACACATGTCACTTCCAGAATATATGTGAATGGATAGAAGGAACCATAACTCTGTACTCACGTTGCTTCCAATATGATATAGATTTGTATTCAGTTGATAGTTCACTTGGAATTCTTGCAGAAGTCTTTAAAGTCGGATCATATTCATGGGTGTTATGCAAGTGCTTTATACTCAATTGGTTGTTTCACTTTTCATGAAACAAGATTGTTGCCGAGGTAGGAGCTGTAACTAGTGATGGATTTGCAATCTTTTTGTATGAAAGTTCTCAACTTCAGAAGAAGACCAATCTTAAGCGAACATTTGATATAGTGTAGTACTCATTTTAACAGTTGAGAATGTATACATAGAGGGTGATAAGTATGTTGCGAAAGTTGATTAAACAAAAAAGATATATAAAATCATGTAATTGGGAGATATTGGAGGGATCCTGCAAAGTGTTTATATAGAATACGATTATGGACGGTTGCTGATGTTCAAATGTGAATTTTGTCGAGGACAGTAAAGAAATGGGAACTGATTTGAAATCAATGATGCCCGCCCTGCGTATAATGTCTTGAACATAATGTTTTTGTGACAAAACTAAAACATCATACGAGTGTTAAATACTGATGCCAAAAAAGTAGATATTGTCTCAAAATTCTTCATAGAAAACTTATTTTGAAGTCCCTATAGAAGCTGCTTATATGAACTCTATGTTGTTCCTTGTTAAGAATATATCGTCTATATACAATAGAATGTAAGTAGATATATCATATTTTTGAAATAACAATAAAGAGGGGTCAGCTTGGTTGCATCTAAACCCATAGGTAAGCAAATAACAATAAAGAAAACTACTAGTCTACAATGCTTACCTTTGACGAATGCATGATAGACCTCTGTCGCTCGACCTTAACAAATGAGAGAGAAGGCAACTTCTAAGAATATTAGATGCACCTTCAATAAATATTAAAGAGAGCATTGATATAAGAAGAGAGAATACAACATTGATTATGAGGTATAATTAGGGCTATATGTGTATTTATAAATTTTTACTTCCCCTATCCAGTTTTTTCTCAATTTATGTTGAGCTTGTGTCCGATTCAACGTCGAGGCGTATTCTGGATATGCTCGAGTCTGAAAAAAATTCTGACTAGCTTTTGGAAGAGTTGGACAGGTATTGGGGTGTGCCGAACAACTGTCGGTGCTCGATACATGTATGAAACGTGTACGATATATTTTTCAAAGTGTCGTAAAACACAATTGTTACATATTTACATATCTCACACCTAGTCTTTCATATTTACACATGCCACACTCAAATATTTAATATCACATAAAAATAATACTTCCACATTTAAAAAGTGAAATACCATTTTTCATGCATAAATCTAAAACACCAAAATTTTTTGCATGTAAACAAGAAAATTTAAAATTAGGATAAGTAAATACAATAATTATGTGCTTTGTATGGAAATTTTCCAAACAGTTTTGCAAGGCATGAATGCGAATAAAATTTTTGAACTGTTTCATATGTAAAATGAAATATTTTAGATGGTGTGTGTGAATCGCACGATTTTAAATTTGCGCTATAGAGTTTCGCCACGTGGAAGACACATGCCGAGGCAGCAAGCGGTGGGATTTCATCGTACCGGGAGATCGAAGCAGGGTAGCGCCGGTTTCTCCCGGTTTACTGCCTCTATTCTTCCCTTCCTCCAACCCTAGGCTTTTTCCGGCAGTTCCTTAACCCCTCGCCTGAGTATTCGATTTCGGACGGGCATGTTGCGTTTCACTCACCGGAAGTAGAGTCAAAACGTAGGTTACCCTCTTCGTCCGTTGTGCGGGGTGTCTTCAGTTGCTACTCTTGAGGCGAATGGATCAATGGAAGCCTGCGGAGAGTTTGTTCCAGGGCTTGTCCGTGACGGGCGCTACCGCCAATGGTTTTGGCCGAGATAGCGAAGAGGGCGTGTGGTCCGGTGGATGGCAGGTTTCCTGTCCCGATTCGAGGTTGGTACCCCCTTTTCGCAATCACTCTTTTTTTGGTTTAATTGTTATATGAGCAGTTAATTGCTGCTAGTTCATGGTTTTTGAATGTTATGAAGACTTAATTTTGAAAATTTTGAGAAAAAAATTAATCAGGCTTAATGTTGTGTGTGGTGCGTTTAACAGAAGGCAATGATTTTAAAATTCCCATTTTCTTAAAGAATAGGTGTGCCATCTTGAATATTAGTACGAGGAGAAGCTATGTGGTGCACTATCCTGAAATATTAGGGCTTTTGGTTTCTTATGGGCTTTTGTTTTTAGTCGGTTGTTGGAAGAAGCTCGTTTCATAAGTCTTGTTAAACGCTATTAGTCGACAAAAGTTGTTGTAAATGATTTTCTAAGAATGTGGTGAACACTTCAGGCAACATTCAGTGCAAACAAATGGAATTAGGATCCATAGTTGGATAACTCTTGTTAATAGCTGTCCGCAACTTTTGCTTATCTAGGCCCCATGTCATTCTATTTTCTATATCTTATGCTTGATTTGATTTAGCCATTTTGCTCATTTAAAACAATTCTTCAGGAGTATGAATTCGCCCATTCGGCTCAATCCATTTTCAAGGATTCAACTTTACAATTGTTTCTAGCACAAAGATAAATGCAATGAATATCCGATAACTTATAAAATTTATTTTTTTCACAAAAACTTTGCATTGAAGTGTGTTCTTGTGAAGAAAAATGAAGAGAAACACAAGGGAAATGCATTACTTTGGTAAAAGGGCTCTCTGAATTGGTAAATAATTTGCTTTGTGTTTGAACTATGAGGAACTCCAAAGTGTTTCGGTTTTGCAACCGAACTCTTAAAATAAAATTCATTTTTTTAAGCTTCTTTATTTGCATAGCTTAACTGGTTACTTATTTGTTGTAATTACTCCTCGATCTTCTTTACTTGCAATCATAGCTTAACTGGTTACTTATTTGTTGTAATTACTTCTTTATTTGCAATAATCATATTTTTTTTCATTGCATTTGGCCATTCGCTAAATTTAACTGAAAAATAGGATGCAAATTGATGTACCAATCATTGAAGCATTTATTGTTGGTTCCATGATATTTTTCTCAATTATTTTACTGAATATAAAACATGAGGGCCAAGTTTTTGTGTTGAAGGAGATGTTGCCATTGCAACAGATGTGCATTTGTCATACGATATAAATGTGCAGTCGGTTCCTAATTGTAGCTGCAGGTTCTAAACTATTATCATGTTTGTGTTCTACTGTCCGGTTAAGTTTCTGTCTTATCTTCACATAACATAGTTATCTGCACTATCACATAAACTCAATCATCTTATTCCCCCCTTTCCTTATGAACTAAACCTCTCTTTTTCCTCTCTTTTTGTCTATACCCTAGCTAACGAGGGTAGCTTTTAGCTGAAAAAAATTATTTCTTGTGCTTCCACACTTCATTTTTTGGAGGTGTGAACTTATGCATACTCTCATCATAATGTAGTTTTATATTTGCACGCCAATTGGGTGAAGAGTTAATTTGTTTTGAAATATTTGCAGTCAAAGGGTGGAGCAAGAAGCAAAGGATTCATCAAATGCTCGAAAAGTACATAAAGCTGACCGTGAAAAAATGAGAAGGGATCGGCTTAACGAGCAATTTCTGGAGTTGGGAAACGTAATAGGTAAATTTTATCAATCATGTTAATGTGAAAATCGCATCTTCGAAACTTTGCAAAATGCACATTGTGATTACTTATTTTCGTGCATTTATTAATCATGTAATGTCATTACTATGATAAACTTCATATATTCAAATGGTCTATTTTTTTAATAGTTTGGAGGGATTCCCTAATTGGCGTTATTCTTATTTGGTATAAAGTTATCATTTATTTGAACGTATTGATATGTTTTTGTTGTTCCTCATGATAAATGAGGCAATATGATCTAATTAAAAATTTTGTATCTATTCAATACAAATCCCATAGCATTTTATAATCCTGTTTTCAGCTCTATGTTTTCTCCATATAGCCATAAACCACATTCTTTTTCCCAAGAGTGATAAAGCTCTTGATTATGATGAGTAAATAATATTAATTTGGCCCAACTCTGCTTTGTGTAATCAAGTTTGTTCTATGTCAACACTGAACAAAGAAAAATAGTTTTAGGTTTTTTTCCATGCCTGAATTGATGATATCAAACATGAGGAACAACAATATTTTGTCAATGTTTACGAATCTTCCTGCAGTCTAATTCATGATTGTTTCTCCTAATAGATTCAATTTGTTGGCCTCTTATATGAAACACTTCTATTGAACACATGAATGATGCTATTTATTGAAGGGCCATCGGATTAAGAAGGGTTGACAAGACTGCTGGATAAGGAAAATTAGAGGCCACATATTCATTGCTTACAAAGATATACCTCTCACATGGATTTATTTATAAAATGGAAGAAAGAGTAGGGATTGCTCTCTTGGCATTAATTGACAATCTATAAATGTATCAAATAGTGGGATTGCTAGTGGCATTTTTTTTATCCTTTTTCTTTCCTTAGAGTATTTTGTAGAAATCCCCATTGAAAGAATGAATTTTCCTAACTTTTCTAATGCTTTCTTCTATATAGAATCAAAGCGAGGTTGGGGTTCCATTTTTCAAAATTTGTTTGTGTTTTATTTTATTCTTTCTAATATTCATTTTCTTCGAGTTTCCCTCTAAAGAGTCATCCATCATGAATTGTAAAAATCGGTTAAAAAAGAAGAAACTAACTGAAGTCGTCTTTGTTGGGATGGAAAAATCGGATTCAATTGATTCACAACCAATTCACAAGAAAACTCTGATTCGATAAATCCAGGACAAAAATTGAATAGAAGCGTACCATACAAGAAATTCATAAATGCATACAAGATTTAACGCGACAAACCCTAAAAACGGGAAAAAATCATGAAGGCACATCACATCAAAATTTTCATTATGAAATTATCAAGAAGTAGGTCGGCCGCACAACGCAAATATATGTGTCAAATAATATTGCGGCTAAAACGTACTATATATTGATCATGGGAGGAAAGAGTTAATAATTATTCTGGGGACGAATCCTTAGTTTACTGTACTTCTAAACTTAGTTTAGCGTGATCACAAACGAAGATGAGTTTTCTAAAATCTTACTTAAAAGTGAAAACAAAAGATAAAAAATTCAGAAAAGACAAAAAACAACAACAAGAAGATCTTACGATTCTTTAAGGTATGTAAGACTCGCGCTCTTGTGATTTAGGTGATGTGGTGGATCATGATATTTCTAAACTTTTCTCTACGTGATGTCTAGTTAAAAGAAAGTTAGAATTCATGAAGTTGAGGCATACTCGATTCTCATGACATCTCGCAGATTAATTCTGGTCTCATTTATAGGTTGCAAAACTTGGATAAAATATGTCAACCGTTATCCAAATTTTGATGTTAACAGTCATTCCTCTGCGGAACAGGTGGGAGTCACAGATCTATGAAATATGTTAACATCTTAATCGGTAAGATCAGGAGTAAATGAAACTCTATGGTTAATACAACAACAAAAAATCCCTGATTTCTCAAGAAAACTTTACACGGAAAGAAGTCATTCGAGAAAAACACATACCATGAATCACATAAGCGCAAAAGAAAATTTAGCTACGCATGTTGGAAAGAACGCAGAAATAACATTCCATAGAAATCATCATTGCAAGTAAAAACTTACAGCACAATTTGTCCTCTCTTCCACAACTGTCAACTCTTTTCTCATAAAATTACCTCTTAGAAAATATAAGAAAATACAAAGAGAGAAGAGTAGAAAACACCTTAACACCTCAACATCAAGGGAGAAAGAGAATCTTAAGGAAAAACTCGGATAAAAGCTATCTCCTGTCGTTTCCAACTCTCCTATCGTCTCTCCCTCCTTCTCAAGGCCAAGAAGAGGGCGATCCCCCTTTTCTCATGATAAAATAAGTTTTTATAATTATGTTTTACATTAGGGATCCAAAATAAGCATCCAAACTCTCTAAATCCGTCAATAGGTTCATAGGGCATGAAATCGCTCAAAATCCGAGTTATGGTCATCCGTTAGCGTGGTCATAGCCGATACCGGCGTGGTCAAGCCCGGTACTAGCATTGTCATGCTTAGATCCGGCGTGGTCACTCCCAAATTGAGCGTGGCTACACCAAACAACAATATATGACGCATTTTGAGTCTGTTTTGCATGTTGACACCTATAACTTGCAAAATAACACAGACCATTTCACAAGCATAAAATTATGATAAATGAGGTGAAATAACAAGTAAAAAAAATGATAACATGCAGATAAAATCACGTAAAATTGACTCATGTTAATACCCTAAAACTTTACTCTTTCTTTACCCTCAAGTAATCTCATAGCTCAGTTGAGGCCCCATGAGAATATACTAAGCACTCCTGTAAATTTCTAAATTATTCAACTGATTTATCAAAGTCAATTAAAAATGTTTAAGTGTAATTTCAATGTCAATTTTCTTAATATTTAATAACTTCACTTTTTCCTTAATTATTTTCCTTCTGCCCCTAGAAAATTCCAAAGATCTTTGAATTGGTGATATTAAAACATTTTCACTGATCTCTAATGTTTTAAAGTAATTTTAGTAGAACTAGCCAACCTAATTATGCTTAAATATTTTTCTTAAGATAACATTAAATGAGTTTCATTAAAAACTCATGAAAAAGTTTTATCACTTAAGTTCTACCAGCTACCTTTCCAGTTTTATTTCTTTCGTTTCTCATGCCAATCTCAAGCTTCTTCTCAAAGCTTTTCACTTTTTTTTTACTCTTTTTTGTTTTTCCTTTTTTTTCCTTTTTATTTATTTATTTTTTTTCTTACAATTTTTTTTTCTTTTCTTTTAAAATGTTTTGAAGGCTTAGTTTTTCTTAAGCAATTAATCTAAAAAAATGATTGTTCGATTTCACTCTTTTATGTTATCTTTCAGTTAAAAGTTAAGACAACATCAAATTGACTAACAAAAAATTGAAAAAGACTGAAGACATCTTTGGTTTGCTACTTAATATTTTAATTGCACATTTTTAATTATTCTGAGATTTCTTTGGGTTCAGTTAGATATTGTGAAGTTCTGAAATCTCATTATTGAAACATTAAAGTTAAACTTCTTTAATAACATTTATCCTCTTTTGGAAGAACTTTTGATAAGCATGTTGGATTAATCAAAATTCATAACAGTAATTATCATATTAACATTTTTAGTCTTTTACCGAGTTATATGAAGTATTCTCTGACTTGCAAAATGGTAAATATTTTCTCCTAAACTTGCTTTTTTTCTATAAGATAAAAAATAAACTTGGCTACAACAAATAAGTGCAGGAAAGAGTAAATATATGAGTAGTCACAACAATCTCATAATGCAAGTATGTAAAATATGTAACAATTTATAAATCAGTAGAGATACAAAAGTAAAACAGAAACAAAAATCAAGGTTTTCAACTCTTACCCCACAATCTGGGACTAACTACTCCATAGATGGACATGACTCAAAGTTAATTCAAATAAAAATTTAAAACAAATTTCAAACAAATTTCAAAACAAATGTAGAAAGTAAAAACATGCTCAACACATCAAGTAATACTCGAGTTGCCTCCCAAGATAGTGTTTGGTTTAACTTTCTCAATCTGATGAAAAAAAACTTCCTCTAGAATTAAAATTTCAATTTAGTAATCTTCGATCAATCACCCTATATTTTATTGGTGCTAAAGTTTTTACTAATTCGTGAAGAAAAAAAATTATTGCAACTTTTTCATCTCAGTTCGATAGCAGTCTTCTAGAAGACATGTGGGGGGGTTTTATTCAGATGATCATTTATAATGATATTTTCTAAATCCCGATTCCTTCCAATTAACTTCCTTATTTGCAGATCAGTGTTTTCCTCGCAAGTTGCAAGAAACGGATCCCTAAAAGATATTTAAGGTTTCCTAAATTTTAGGTTGGGTTCTTCTTAGGTTTTTCAAGTTTTGGATCTAATTCTATTGGATCATTCTTCAGCTCAGAGCTAACTTCCAACTCTTCCCCTTGGGGCACTCCTACGGTTGATATTATAGGCTCAACTATCTCCGTCACAATGCAAGGGGGGTGCCTTGAAAAGAAGAACGCATTCTTCCTTAGTCATTGTCCAACCAAAATTCAACAAAACATGCTCTTCAGCGATTAACTATTTAGCTTCAAATTTATGGCCCTCCACTACCCCCGACATTCCTTTGGGTTCATTGCTTAATAGGTTAGATAACTGCCCAACTTAAATTTTTTTTTATGTTTCTAAGGACATTAGCTTGATTTTGTAACTCATTCTCCAGATTATCACTAATTCCTCCAAATACTCATTTTCTTCAGGGTAGTCACTATCCTGGTCATTCCAACTTCTTATAGGTTTGACTTGGGTGCTCTCCCATTGTAGTTGTTTATACTAGAATTATTATTGTTTCAATTGAAGCTTGGGTTTGTCGACCAACTTTGGGTGTTTGATTCATTCTTCAAATTTTCTAACAATTATTCAACGTTATGTTATCTTCCCAGAGGATTTGAGGTGACTTCCCAAGCTTGAGTTTGACAAATGTGATCCCTGCCCCAGTTCTAATTTTCTATAAAGTTGTCTTGAGTTCTCCACCAATATTAGTTTTCT